CGATGCAGACAGAAGCGTGTACAGTATGAGCCAATCAGTGGCAGTAATGACAGAGCATGCGCTGTTACGCAAAAACCGCGATAGAGTGAAGCCACGGATGTCGAAGCGCGAAGTGGCGAGGGTTCACTGTATTGAGTTCCTTCTGATCATTAACCAATGGTGTAGTTACTCTTGCCCTCAGGCAGAGTGCATTGGAAAGTGGATCACCTCCAGCCCTCTTCAGCCAGCCCAGGGAGGGGCAGCCTGGGTGTGTCCTTGATGAACAATATTGGGGGTTACAGTCATCAGTGGTGCCTTGACTGCCATGTTGAAAGGCCCTGGACCAATCTTGTAAGCTATTTTATGAAATGAAATGTACAGGTCCCAATAATGGCCCTGAAACAGATTCTGTAGTCCCACCTGTGACTGTGATGTATTGATCTGCCACCAATCATGAATTTGTGACAGTTTGCTTTGTTCCATGCCTTATTTAACTAGCATCCTGACTATGAATCCTTGGATACCATTATGACCTAGTGCTAGTAGCCTCCCTCATCCAGGTGATGTGTCCAAGTGTCTGTATCTTTGTATTGTTTCTCTCTTTTAAGACTTAATAACTATTCTCCTTAAATTATATTTGAGATTGAGGGGTCTCTGTTGTACTCTAGAACAATATAAAAAATACTGTGGTTGATCACAATTGAAAGCTTAACCTTTTTAAAAAAATTTTTTTAGTTAGTTCAAGGATTGTTTGTTGGCCTTTAGGAGTGTTTTCCAGTCCAGTCTGTTGGAGCACCACGCCCTGAAAGCTTAACCTTTTACTTTCATAGTTTTGTATTATCCAAAAGAGCTATATTATTCACATTCTTGGTATTATAATTAATTCATTTGTAAATTTAAATGAAAAATTTATATATCTAATTAAATGTGAACTTACCTGCTACTTATGAAAAGGACAGATACTGAGAGATATTCACAGTAAACCTGTGAAAGGAAGAAAACTATTAAAAGAAGGAAAAATCAAATATTTTCCACTAAAACTCATGATGGAAAAGTGGTAAGATCACAGCCTGTCCAAGGCAGAAAACTTGCAAGATCTGGAAAAATCAGGCCCACCTACTGGCATCAAGTGGACCCCTAGCGTACTCTAGGACAGAGCAGAGCTCCCTCAGGTTTCTGAGACTAAATCTCTGCCGGAGCAGAAGGCCTCGCCTCCTGTGGAGCAGCTAGGCAGCGGGTCTCCATCCCTGTGGGGGGCAAACGCCCCGTCACAGGGGTTGCCCGATTCATAACAGTAGCAAAATGACAGTGATGAAGTAGCAAGGAAAATAATTTTATGGTTGGGGGGTCACCACAACATGACGAACTGTATGAAAGAGTCACTGCATTAGGAAGGTTGAGAACCCCTGAGCTAGTGGGTTTGAACTACTGACCTTAAAGTTAGCAGCCCAGTGCACATAGCCTACTATGCTACCAGGGCTCTTCAAAAACAAGGCAGTCCGCTATAACCAACTAACCTGTGTGCTTATTCATTTTATAAGCATCGAATACACTCTTATTACCAGGTGAATTTTATGCTCTGGGCTAGTGTTTCCCAAAGTGAATGATTCTGTCCCTCTGGCACCTGCAGGAACCCTGTGGGGCGAGGGGCGGGGCTGCAGAAGCAGATAGGTATACTGTATCCTAGATTATGGGCTATAGTACAAACGTTTTTCATTGCTATTGGGGCACTGATTTTTCTTTTCTTTTCTGAAACGGGGCAGTAGTCCAAATACGTTTTGGAACCTGTGCTATAGGCTAATGACATGGGCTTAACGCAGATTACAACTTTGGCTAAATAACAAACCTTTTGGGTTTCCGCAGTTTGAAAAAATAAAGACTGTTGTTTTAAGAATGGGTTTGAAAACCACTAGTTGTAAGCCCTGGTGGCATAGTGGTAATGTGTTGGGTTGTCAACTGCAAGTTCGAAACCATCAGCTCCCCCGTGAAGAAAGACAGGGCTTTCTTATGCCCAAAAGAGTCACAGTCAAAAAAAAAAAAAAAGAGTAACAGTCAGTTGTAAATATCTGGTTAGCAGAAGGTTATTACAGAGTGGAAGCCCAAAATCCATTTGCAGGATCCACACTTGAATTAAGCCCCCGGTAAATCCCCTCTGACCATATGTGAATAGCCTTATTATCAGAGAACATTGTAAAGTTGATTATTAGGTTAAAATGTAATAACACTTGATCTCCTTTTTGACCCATTCTAAAGTTGTTTCAGTTCAAAAAAAAAAGTCAAGGGGAAGTACGTGTAGATCATGCCCCTGGTGGATCCTGTCTGACCATGTAGACCAGAGAGGTGAATAACTTTGCTATCATACAGATTGGAAGTTGGCTTATTGCAAATGCAGTAATGTTAAAATTTGGCATCTTATCATTTGATCTCCCCTTTGACCTACTTTATTATTATTATTTTTAATCATTTTATTGGGGGCTCATACAGCTCTTATTACAATACATAAAAGCATCTGTGATGTCAAGCACATTTGTACATTTGATGCCATCATCATTTTCAAAACATTTTCTTTCTACTTGAGCCTTTGGTGTCAGCTCCTCATTTTTTTCCCTCCCTCCCTCATGGACCATTGATAATTTATAAATTATTGTTTTTCCATGTCTTACACTGACCGATGTCGCCCTTCACCCACTTTTCTGTTGTGATTGGTTCCCCACTTTATTATTATTATTTTATTTCTTTTTGACCCACTTTAAATTTGTTGTAGTTTTTAATATTTTCTTATTTCTTTTCAATTGAGAGTTTTCTGTTTCATTGTTCTTAATTTTTTGTTTTTGTTTCTTAATGTTTCTCTGTATACAAAATCCAGGGTAGGTAAATCTATAGACACAGTAACTGGATTAATAATTCCTTGAGGATATGGCAGGGGAAGTTGGGAGAAACGGGGTTGATAACAATGAGTACAAGAAGGAAGAAAAGGTTCTAAAATCGATTGTGTTGATGATTGTACAACTCTGCTTCAGATGGAACACCGAATTGTATTATTTGTGAATGCAATGTTAGTAAAACTTAAATTATAAAAAGAAGAAAAGAATTACAGTCCCAGGAACCCTCACGATCTGTTCTACCCTGTCCTATAGTGTCACTATTGGCATTGACTCAATGGCAGTGTGCTTTGTGCTTAGAGTTGTGAAGGTCCTGTTTCTTCCTGTCAGTTGACCACCACTCTGTTGCTTTTACAGAGGTCCTGCTGGAGTAAGAGCCCAAGCCCTGGATAGAGATGGGAATTTGGTGGAAGATTTTATATTTGATGGAGGAATTGGGGATATTGGAAGTCGCATTCTTCATGTGAGAAATGCACCTTCCCCTGCTGCCACATCTTCTCTGGCAATTTCTGGAATGATTGCAGATGAAGTACAAGAAAGATTTGAATTGTGAATAAAAGAATGAGAGGAGCTAGGGATGCATTTTAATCTCTACATTCAGCAACAAGAATCCACCCATGGCATTCTTTGATTTTAAAGCAAAGTATTTTAAAATCTCATTTTTAAGTCACAGATAGCCATTTATTTCTTACAAGTGACATAGAACCAATGAATGATCTTGTAAAAATCAAAATGCAGGTTCTGTGACTCCAGCAGCTTCCCTGGCCTGGCCAGAAACTGTATTTCTGTGCTGAGCCTCTGACTGTCGATGACCTCATGTCACTAAGCGTGATCTAAAGAAGAGTCGATTCTTTCACAATTGCAGGGAAAGATGGACTTACAAATTGATGATTCCCTGAACCTTGGGACTTCGGAATAGCCAAGCTTTTTTTGTTCCTCCCAGACAAGAAAATATGTTGTCTGACAAAATAATATGTTGCAGGCTAAAAATTCGAATTTTGACTTATAGAAAAATTCAGATTTTCTACAGCAACCATATTTGTGTCTATAAATTTAAATTTTGAGTTGAAGAAAATACACAAATTTTACATTTTCAATAGTTTATCTGAGATTTTTCTTACCCATAATATTTGTCAGAAAGAACTTTGCAAAATAAAATAAAAACTTTACAGTGAATTTGGTGTATTATCATCTCTAAACAGCAGTCTACTGTGAGTAGTTGTTGCCTACTCTTCAGTGTTCTGTGTTTAAGAAACAGAAAGAACTTAAATCTTTTTTTATGTCCTGACATTGATATCTAGAATCGTGACTTAAAAAATTGTTTATCTCAGTCACATTAAACATCTCAAAATTGGCCACACTCCCTGATGAATCCTGTTTACTTGGTTTTCCAGAGCTCCTATAAACTCTCATAAGGATATTTCTCCATTTTTGGTAAATTCTTAAATTTGAGACATTCACTTCGGTAATCGCGAAAGTGCCTTCCATTCATGTGCGTTTCATGGGTGTTTTAAAGGGCTGCCTAGTGCCACACCGTGTTCTGTACTGGCAGCCGTTGAAATGATTCTTATAACTCACCAAGTTGGAAAATAGAAATGAAAAGAAAAAAAATGTAACTGAAGGTAGAAATAGAAAATAGAAATGAAAAGAAAAAAAAAGAAAATAGAAATGAACTGTAGCAACTTTGTGTGACTGGGAAGGCATTTACTGCAGAAGCGTCATTTTGGTGAGATGGTGCTTGTCCGTGCCCCTCACACGTGCTTTCTCAGGATGCCTCTCCCGACTTGCGCCCTGTCTCTCCTCTGCCCTCTCTAAAGCTCTGCCATAGAGGAGCGGAGAGGGGGTGAATGCTGACTCACGGGAGGGCTTTCCTTTCCTTCATTTGAAACCTCAGCAATTACACTGACTGAGCTCTCCCTTCCACTACTGTGAAAAGTTACCAGCCCCAAAGGCTCTTCATAACGGCTGATTTCTGTTTCAGGGTAAGATTATTAAGATACAGAATATATTAATAATTCTCTCTTTTGTCAACAGTAAGATTCTGTGTACACTAAACGGAATGACTGGAATTACGAAAACAAAGTACTTCATTAAAATAATTTCACTCTATTCGCATCTGTACTGTATAACCCCAAAAAATACAAGTAAAAAATTCTTTGAAAATGCTTTAAATTTATAGATGATCCTACTTTAAAATACTTAATATTTTGTCAGTAGGATTTATTATTTAATACTGGTACATTTCGGTTTTGTGTACTTCTAAGAAAATGCACATTAATATTAAAAATGTTTAATGAGCCTTGGTGTTATTGAAAACATTTTTATTTTTGTAAGAACCGTTACTCAAACTTTCTGTGTAAAACATTAACTTAACAGCATAATCTATATAGCAGGCAATCTTTTTTTTTTAATGATAAAATTTTTCTAATTGTGTGGAATGTAAAGATGAGGGAGAGTAGGTTAATCATAAGACCTTCAAAACGTTTGAAGTCAATTAGTATTTTAGGTAAAGAATGGAACATTTTGCATTACGAATACATTTTGGTAATTCGTTTTATGTAGTGTAACATCTTTTACTCGAGCAAATATATGAAAGCCATTTGGGGAGTTGCCTGTACTACTGGCAGAGTTCCCTGTCTCCTGTGGCTGGGTGGGAATTTGCCTGCTGGCCTATGGGATATCCTAACTCTCAGAAGTTACCTTTGGGGAGGGTAGTGGGAGTGCTGTGCATGAGTCTGGAGTGGTAGTTTGCATCTGGAGGCTCTCCAACCCTGGGGCTGTGCCAGGAGCCCTCCAGTGAACCCAGGAGGGAGGATATCTATTGTTTAAAAGCAGGAGCTGCCCCACTGGGCCTTTGATCTATGTCCAGATATCATCTCTCTGAACATAGAGTATTGTCTAAAGATCTTCTGTAAAATTTTGAGGCGCAGTTGTGAAGTCAGTTCCTAAATTTTTATTAATGCCTTCTTATGGGAGTTGGTAAAATCTCTCCATTAGGATTTAAGATGGAAGAATGAATGGATGGATATAAAGACACTCAGAAATACTTTCAAATTGTACCTGTTTTTACACTGGTAGGTGCTCTCTGGTTCCAACTCAGCCACCCTAGCTACAACAGACACCACTGCACTACCGCACCCCTCACCCCCACTTCACAGTTGCTGCTGCTGGAGCCCAGTGCTGCAGCCATTGTGTCATTCAGCTGGTGGGGCTTCCTTTTTTCCTAAACCCCCTTTTTTTTTTTTTGGTAGGTCCACAAACATTTTTTTAATTTTTTACTTATTTATTTTTTATTAAAAGATCATTTTATTTGGGGCGCTTACAACTCTTTTTTTTCCCCACTAAGCTTGCCGCCTTCTCCTGGGACTGATCTCTCCCTAGAACAAAAGAAATAAAACCCTAAGGTCCTGAAGGGAAGAGCCCTTGGACGCGATTAGTGTTCCTTTTGTTTTGTTCAACCCCAAACCAAACTCGTGCTACAGCTTTTGTCTTGTTTTTTGGGTTACTTTATGCTAAGAGAAGGGTCCCCCTCAAAGTGACCTCATTGGTTGTGGATTGGGCTGCTAACTACAAGGTCTGCAGTTAGGAACCACAAGAGTTCCCATCTCAGAAACCCACCAGGGCATTTCTAGTGTCTGATAGGGCCACCAAGTCAGAATGCACTCCATGGCGGTGAGTTGGAGTTTTTGTTCTTGGATCACATGAGAAGTGTTATCTTTGAATGTGGCTTGAGGGGGAGGGGATGGCATGCCTGGACTTGCCCACGGAGCTAGAAAGACCCGAGGGACAGCGAAGTGATACCAGAGGGACTTTATCAATAGAAAAATTTAAATTTCAAACAAAACCCAAACCAAACTGCCTGCCGTCAAGTGAATGCCGACCCTTAGCAAACCTTTTAGGACAGGGTAGAACTGCCAAGATTGTACTGCAAGTCTTTACCGGAGTAAAAGTCCTGTCTTTCTCCCAGGAAGCGGCTAGTGGTTTTAAACAGCCGACCTTGACATTAGCAGCCCATCACGTCACCAGAGCTCTATAAAATTTCAACCAACTTCTTAAAACTATCTTTAAAAAATAAAATAAAATAACTGTGTCTTCAGAATAACCTCTCGTAACTTTGTTGCATAAAACAGTGATAGAACCGAATGAAGGGGACTAGAAGCAGTGATGCCGTGGTGGCTGCAACAATGGGCTCAGACATCATCGTGAGGGCGGTGCAGGACTGGGCAGTGTTTTGTTCTGTGTGTGTAGAGCCCCTCGGAGTGAGAACCTAGCAACACCATAGTGATTAAGTTCATTCACTGGAAATACTCGGCTTCAAAAAGTTCATGACAAAATTCTAATATCTTTACATTTTATTTGTCCACCAATTTTTGAAGCCCTCATTGAAGAAACAGTGTGGGGGCCACATTTGGCCTCCTCTGGCCCTCAAGGCTGGATTACCACATGCATGCCCCCACCCTCCAACCTTCCTGACCAGCTCTGACACCAGCCATCCCTCTCATGCTTGCTTTATTGCCCCGGGTTCCAGAATGCATCACAAGGGCCACAGACAAGGCTCTCGGGGTTTATCAGAAAAGTTAACAGGTTACAATTCAGGTGAGAAATGCTCAGGATACAGTTATTCATTCACGAAAGTGTCTTCTCTACCATGCTCACAGGCAGGACTTTCTCTGACCCTCAGCCACCCGGCCTGGCCTCTGCCCTGTTTGGGCAATGTTACAAAACTCTTAGGGCTGTCAATCAATACCCAAAGGACTTGCCACTTCCCTCTAAGCCTCAATCCAAAGGGCCTCAGCCCCAGCTCAGTAGGTCAACACATTCAGTCCCCACAGTTCAGTGCTCAGTAGGCCTCGTGCCCATAAGCACTCCAATCTATTTGCTCGGTCTCATGTTCTGGCTCCTGGTTCTGCTGCTGCTACTACTATGTCACTCTAGTGTCACAGTTGTCTCCTTGATCAAGGAGCTCAATGCACAGGGATCACTGTCCTCCCACCTCTACTCTCTTACTGATAGTGATCACTGCACTGCTTGCTTCCTACGCCCAGCAAGATGGTACGCTCAATAAATCCTTTTAACAACTACTCACAGCTGAATCCTATCATCCAATTAGTATCTTCTCCTATCTTACCCAGACACCTCCGAAAAACCAAGATTGTTTGGTGAGAGACAAAGGCTATAGCTAGAAGAGCTATGTAAAATAATTCACTGCACCCCCACCCCCCACCTCCAACCAAGACCCTAGCCAAGGGATGTGGATAGCCTTGTGATCAGACAGCATGGCAAAGCGGGTTATGGCAGATGTGGTTAGGTTGAAATGGAATACCATTTGATTTCTCTTATGATTCATTTTAAAGTTGTTTCAGTTTTTTAAAAAATGAAGAGGGAAGCTCTTTTGTCCATAGAACAGGCACGTGAATCACCTTGCTATCATGCAGAGAGGATTGGAAAGTGGATTATTGCAGATGCAGTTAGGGTAAAATTTAACATGTTATCATTTGATCTCCCTTTTGACCCATTTTAAATTTGATTCAGTTTTTGGAATTTTCTGCTCTTTTTAATTCATGTTTTCCTCTCTTTTACTTTGTAATTGTTGTTGGAATTCTTGGGTATATTTATCTGTACATGAAATCTGGATCAATTGTTTCTTGGGCATGTGGTAGTCGAGGTTGAGGGAAATGGGGAATTAATAACAATGTGTACAAGAAAGAAGGAAATGTTCTAAAATTGAGTGTATTGATGATTGTGCAACTCTTTTTAATATGATTGAATAATTGACTCATATGCTATGTGAATTATATGCCAATCAAACTATTAAAAGATAAGATAAAATAATTCTTATAATAATAAATTCAGCTTTTATAAAAGATACATTTTCAGGATATCACTTTATGGACAAAGGCATTTGGGTCAGGCTTTCTAAACCACACAGGCCACACACCCATTGCTGTTTCTCAGGGTGCGTAGATCTTCCCATCTTTGGTGCCTTTTTCTTGCTTAGACTAGTGCTTAAATTCTGAGCATTGTATTTGCAGGAGGCTGTGTTTGCAGGAGGCTGTAGTGTACAGTGGAAGCCCGAAATCCATTTTGAGTCTGTGTATAACTTTAGGATCCATTGAATTCTTTCTGCCAGCATTGTAAAAGACTTTGCCCTCATGTAGAGTATGTTTGCTGCTATTCCACTGGGCAGACCAAGAAGGGGGCAGCCCTTGATGGATAATGGGGTCTCTAGCTCTCTTACTCAACCTTCTAACCTTTCCTAAGTTCTGCTTGCCTAGATCCTTTGAGATAGACAAAACCAAGCATGTTGGATATGTTATCAAACCCCAAACCAAACTCACTACCATCACTTTGATGCAGACTTGTGACGCTGAAAGACAGGTTAGAACTGCCCCTGTGAGTTTCCCAGACCATAACTCTTTGTGGGAGTAAAAAGACTTACTTTTCCCCTTGGTTAAGTTATAGGCCACTAGGAAAAAAGAGTGTCTCCTGATATTTAGTTTCATGCTTTAGTATTTAAGGATATGTAAATGCATTTTATTTTTCCATTTTATAGTAACGTGGGGAGTCGGTAGTAAGTATTTTTAATTTAGACCTTCAAAAATTATTTAATAAAACTTCTGGAATTGC